CCCCAAAGCCCTGTATAGAAAGTGTGCTGGTACTTATTTTAAAGCCATAAGTGTAGTCTGGACTCATCATGCTTCCATTCTCAACAAAATAATTTGCCTTATCTGGCATGGTGATGCATGCCTGTAATCCCAGCTCTACAGAGGCTGAGGCAGGAGGGTCACAGATATATGCTAATAATAAAAGAAAATCTTAAAATATAAAAATGCTCAGTAAACTCATGAAAAGATGTTCAGTATTGTTAGGGAAATGTGAATCAAAGCCACAATGTGATGCTCCTGCAAACATAATAAAGTGGCTAAAAATTAAAAATAAACCCAAACCAACCATACCAGGTGCTGATAAAGATGCAGGGTGACTGGAACTCATCATTGCTGGTGGGAGCAAGGAAGGATACAGCCATTTTAGAAGCTAGCTCGAGAGTTTCTTCTAGAGGTGACATCTGCTCACCGTAAGACCCAGGAGTGTCACTTTTTGGTGTTTACCCAAGTGAAGTGAAAACTTCTGTTCACACAAAAACCTATATGCAAATGTTTACAGCAGCTTTATTCATAAGCACTAAGCATTGGAAGCGATCCAAATGCCCTACAATGGTGAATGGCTAAACACACTGTGGTCCATCCAATTAATTCCACGGAGCACTGAAAAGGAACTAACCTCTAATACACGTACCAATATGGGTGAGTTCCAACTCATTGTAATGGTTTATATCTAGATGCACCCCCAAGCCACAGATACTCACAGGCAGGGCTTCTGAAAGGTGACTGAATCACGAAGGCCCCATAGCTTAGTGTGGTGCTTGGAGGGGCCTAGCGGAAGACGTGGTCTCAGGGGCGTGGCCTGGCGGGTGGGCGTGGCCTGGTAGCGGGAGTGGCCTGTTGGGGGCGTGGTCTTGCAGGTACATCACTCTAGGCTGCTCTCTTGGCTATCACCTTCCCGTGTCATGACAAGAGCAGCTCTCCTCTGCCTAGCCCCTTCCACCAGGCCTTCCTGCCTTGGAGCTGGCCAACTCTGGATTAAAAACATTAATCAAAGAAGCCTCTCTTCCTTTAAATTATGGGTGTTGTGTATTTTGTCGCAGTGACAAGAAAGTGACGAAGGCATGCCCCGTGCTGCGCCAGAGTCCAGGTTCCAGGAGCTACATGATACATTAACCCATTCACATGACCCTGGGAAGGGTGAGCCTGGGGAGACAGAGAGCCGACCGCGGCTGCCAGGGACTGGAGACAGGCAAGGAGCTAAGGCGGAGGCCACCAGCAACCTCGGTGGGTCAGCGGACAAGCTCTGTGTCTTCACGGTGGGGCTACGTAACTGTGGGCACTGGGCAAAAATCCTAGACCTGTACACTAAACAGTGTGTAGATCATCTCAACTTTTTTTTTAAAAAGCAAAATGATCATCAATAAAATAGTAAACAAACATAACAGTTAAAATAAAACTCACCTAGCAGATTAGTAAAGCTCTGGGTGTGTCGTGGGTGACTGACACGTATGGAGGACCCTGGAGGATGTCCTGTATCGCAGAAAACCCACTACAATGCCAGCCCTTAGAGAAGAACTTAAAAATGCACGCACAGCCGTCTCAGTGACCAAGGTTACCCAAGCAGCAGTTTGCCATGCTAATAAATGTCTGGAAGCTCATGGCCATATCTTTGAGCACCTCTTGGAATCGCAGAGGCCAAAGATAACTTGTATGAATCTCATGATGTCTCAATAAATTCAGTATTAAAATATTTATGTTTTTCTTTTCCTGAAGTGCGTTTCTTTGGCAGATTCTGTGTATATATATGTACAATATATATGTTATATGGATTAATATAACACATATTTATAAATTATATATGTATAATTTTAATCTGTTAAATGTCAGTTATTATTTTCCTGCTTTTATTATTTGTCTGTATTTTCTTGAAGTTCACTGAGCTTCCTTAAAACAATTATTTTGAATCACTTGTCAGGCCGTTCATATATCTCCATTTCCTTAAGGTTTACTGGTGATTTATTTAATTCATCTGACTGTTTTTGATTTTCCTGGCCACGTGTTTGTGTCTGCACATTTGAAGAAACAGACCTATCCCAATCTTTGCAGCCTGGCTTTGCCTGGGAAAGCCCTTCACCAATCCATCCATCCAGAGCTTCTGGGCAGGCCATTGGTGTAGTATATAGGCAAGCCTGTTGCTGGAGTCCTCAGGTAGATGAGGCTGTTCTTGAGTCAACATTTCCAGCCCCTTAGAGCTGCAGGTTTGGGCCTGGACTTGGTTCAGGCTCCACTGGGATGGGCTGGAGCCTGGGCTTGTGAGAAAGGACCTAGCATCTCTATCCCTGTGGACTAGCCTGAAGCTGGGGCCCGCAGGGCTGACCTGGTGCTAGGGCCGTCTCAAGTCTGAGTCTGTGGGAGCCGCTCACGTGCTGGGATGGGCCTGGAGCCCAAGTCCAAGAGGCCTGGTCTGATGGTCGGAAATGCCCGGAACCTGAGTCTGTGGGAGCAGACTTAAGTTTGGGCCCCAGTGGTCTGTGGGAGCTGGTGTTGTCGTTGGAGGCAAAATCTGGGGCTCACTTCCTTCTTCTTCCCTCCAGAGGGCAGTATCTCTTTTTATACTGTACTGCCTGAGGTTGGGGATGGGGTACCACAGTAATGTAAAACTGTCCTTTTTGTTGTTCTCAATGTATCTTTTCTTATTTCTGAGCTATCCTCAGCTGCTGTGAACTTTCACTTGGTGTGTTAGTCAGTGCTTACTAGAGAAACAGATTTTATACAAGATGTACAAATTTATCAGGATTTACAAGATCGGCTTACAATGGCTGTCCAGAGAGGCTGGTGTGGAAGAGTGCAAAGGCGGTCCACGCACTGGGGATTCAAAGGATCCAGCTGAAGGCCTGGGGCTCACTACAGTGTCCGAGTGGGTCCATATCAGGAGGCCCAAGGGTCTGCACTGGAAATCTGAAGGGTCAGTGCTGGATGCTGAAGTCTGCATCGGAAGGCTGAAGTCTGTGATGGAAGCCAGGAGACATCCAAGGTGAAGGTGAAGACTGGAGCTCCTCCGAAGAAAGAAAAGCGATCCTTCCTTGTTTTCCTTTCACACCATTCTGGCAATAATCTTCCCTAGGGTGGGTCTTCCACACCCAGAACTATGCTGAGCCAATTCAGTTGGGTGTTTCTTACTTGACTTGACACAATCAACCGTCACTCTTGGTCTCCTCAGCTTTCATCAAAGTACTTTTCCGTGTGGAGAGTTGTTAAAATTGATGTTTCTTGGAGTGCAGATTTAAATCTGGATTTTGCTACTCCTGGCTAAATTTCTTACCCTCTGAGCATTAGTCTTGTCATTTCTATGTATCTCATAGCATTGTTGGGGACTGACAGGATAATTCGGTGCCTGGCTTAATGAGTGAAAGATGAGATTTCTGACAACCTTGAATGCCCCTGGTTGGACAGGTCTTTCAGAATCTCTTGAGGATTAATATTATGTGCCAGGAGATAGCCCCTGGAAGCAAGAAATATTGGCATCATCTATTTTTAGTTATACAAAATAATTAAATGTAACTTTATAATCATGCCTGTCTCATTTGGAGGATCTTTTATTTGTACTGCTCGGTCCTTAGACTTTTGCTCTGTTGCGATGTTATTTATGGATAACTAGGGTAGACATCAGTATGAGAAACTAAATTGACCCAAAAGCAAGGGAGAATAATGGAGGGGGGTTCAGGATGATAAGGAACTTAGTGGAGAGGGATTCTGAATCACAGAAAGAAGAGATTCAGACTGAATCTCACCTGCAGGGAGGTGAAAAACTGGGTCAAGGGATGTTCAAAGAAGTTTTACAGGACGTTTGCTCTGTGATGTGTGGGCCTATGTTCTCCTTCCATGTCCCCAAGAAACATTCAGTAAAGGTCTAAGTTATTCTTCAACACTCAGGTAAGTCTTGTGTTTTAAGACATGATGTTTTTGATCCACAAAGAAGTTGAGACTGAAGAACTGATCCCTTGCTTTCCTGCACCTACTCTGATCCCTTTCCTTTCATCTCCTGCCAGACTGTGGAGCTGGAGGGGAATCCCATGGTGGCTGCTGTGGGAGCAATGGTGACTCTTCAGTATCTGTTGTTTCTGTTACACCTGGGTGACGTAACATCTAGCCAGAGTTCCTTAGCATTTGTGAAGGCATTTTCATGCAGAGAGTAACACTGGTATACTATGGCGGATCTGTGCTGAAAAGTCCTATTCCACCATTTTGCCAGTGTCCTGCCCTAGTAATCTACATGTACTGACTCATCGAATCCTTAGAATAACCCAGAGGTGGACGGCATTACTATCTCTACTTTAGATGGAATTGAAGCATACGTTAGACGACCATCACTGAAGTCAAAGTTGTTAAGTGTCTAAAGCAGCTGAGCTCCAGTTTATTCATAGCCCAGTAGGACCTTCCTGTACGACTTAGGCAGGTCAGAATGTCCTTAGATCCCATCTTCTTAGTTCATAAAATGAGAGGGGCCCAGGTGACCCGTAGGCTTCTTTCCCATAGCTGGCTGGTGCAAGCACATTTTCTATTCTTTAATGATGGTGGGTGATTGCTTTGCTATCACCCACGTACTGTCCTTAATCCTTCCTCTGCCGCTACTCCTGCTCCCTTCCCCACCTACCACCTTGCTCAAACTGCTGCTGTGTGATCTTATTAGTTTATCTTAGTGTTACCAGTTTCCACGCCTGAAATGTGGGGAAAAGCTTTTCTCTTAGGGTTTCAACTGGAGATTTCACCTCTTCTATTCTGCTAGGAATTTATTTTACAAGACAGCTTCAAATAAAGAGGCAATCACTTGCAGCACAGACATCTTAAGTATTCAGGATGCGTTAAATTTTGGCAAGAAGGATTTGGACCCGATTTCTTTGGTTAGTCTTTCCCAGCCCCACAGGATTCAGGGCAGCAATGAATTGGCAAGAAGGTGTGATAGACACCTGACAATAATGTTCAGGTTCACCATGCGGAGGAACCAAGAAAACATACTCATGGCCAATAGAAATGATTTTATTTATAAAATAACTAAAATATAAACATGTCTAAATATAAACACTCCTCACAAGAGACCTTTCATCACTGCCTGTGGCCACTGGCAGGGACACGGGCTGAGGAGTCCACAGGTGTCTCGTGGGTCAGGATCTTACGGCCAAATGTGCACGCAGAGAAACAGGGGCTGTAAGATTGTTAATTCCTCTAAAAGACAAACCTCAGAGTCACCCACTGTCCAACAGGCCTCACAGCTTGTGAAGATCTGAAGTACAGGAGCCCTGCTCACACCAAATTTTCAAAGGCAGGTTCTGATGGTTCGCAAGTGACTTCCCGCGACCAGTGAGGCGTTACCAGGCACTTGAGAATCTGTTTGGCTTTGAAAACTGTCCCTGAAGCATGGAGGTTAGTAGTGGAGCTGCAAATCTTATTTCCTAGTCTAGGATCAGCTGCTCCTGGGACCGCTTACCTTTCCTCAAGTAAGTCACATGGTCATGCTGGCTGCATCTGTGGCTGTGTAAGCGGCAGCCGTGTGAAGGAGCAAGGTATGCAGTCCTTGACCAGGCCTGACTGGTCAGGGACTAGTGTAGAATTAGTACTTTTAGTGGAGGCTGGGGCTCTGATCCTGGTATTCTAGGAAAATCTACCCATTACTGAGCACACGGTCATGAGACATCACACATTCTGTATAAGGTAGAGGTGACTGTGAGAAAGGGTAGATGACTGTATCTAAAAAGGAACGAGAACCTTTCAGATAAAAGGTCAAAAGAAAATAAAAACCCTAACTACTTCTTAGCAGAAGAAAGCAGCTGAATTTTGTCTAACCAATCTGGGAATAGTGAAATGAAACAGATTAGTATTTTAGGGACTTTAGAAATTAGGTGTGAGAAACGAAATGTGAGCGGAACACGAGAGGTATCTCCGAAGCTCTGAAACACTAGGTTTGGTGCCATCCCAGCAAATTCTTTGCCACGTGCCAGAATGTGACCTGCCTGGGCCCCAGAGCCCCGTCCAAGTCAGTTTGTCATCAGCTCATCACGGAGCACGGGGCCACCCCAGACTCAGTGTGATACAGCAATGCTAGCTCAGCTTCCTGCAGACTCAGAATGTCAGTGCTCCGGCTGGAAATTTCTCACTGCCAAAGGCTGACCCGGCCCTTGCCTTTCATCTCGTGGTCACTGAATCATCTGAGAACCCCAGGGCCCACTTCAAATTCTAGAAATTCTAGGAAGCATCAAGACTTATAACCCGATAGAGAAGAACAAAACTTGTCTTGCTCTCCGCTAGTCCTGTTAAGCAGTGCAGCAGGGCCTGGGTCTTCAGACCAGGTGCCGGTCAGCAGCCCACCAGAACCTTTCAGCAGACTGAAAGCAAAGGCAGCAGTAAGGTTGAGCAGGAGGTACAACAGGCTCAGGTGTACTCAGTTTTGCGGATGTAATTGGATGGGACATAGCCCTTCTTTCCATTAACTTCAGCTAACCACCACTCTGTATTGCCAGTAACGTCTTTGAACTCGAGGATCTTGAGTCTTTGATTGGCTGACACACTCAGCTCATTTGGGTTTCGTGCTTTGAAGGCATAAACAGCAAAATATACCTGTATGAGGAAGACAGGGAGAGTTAGAAACTGCCTGGAGCAGTGCTGTCCAGCAAAACTTTCTGTGGTGATGTGACTGTTCTGTTTGGACTCTCTGAGCACCTGGAATATAGCTAGTGACCTGAGAAGTGAAATTTTAATCTTACTTTTAACTAAACTTCAAAGCCGGGCATAGTGGTGCAAGCCTGTAATCCCAGCACTCGGAAGGCTGAGGCAGGAGGATTGCCACAAGTTCAAAGCCACCCTGGCTACATAGTGGGTTCAAGGCCAACCTGAAATACATGGTGGACCCTGTCTCAAAAAACTTTAAAAAATGGGCTGGGGATATAGCTCAGTGGCACACGTGCCTGCCTAGCAAGTGCAAGGTCCTGAGTTCAATTCCTAGTAAAAAGAAAAAAAAAAAACCTTAATAAATGAATAAATAAAATTTAAATAGCTATATATGCCTGGAGGATCTATAGTGAACAGGGCAGGTATAAAGAAAACCAAATTTCACACCTTTTAATTCTTTAAAAAAATGTCTGGAATCCTCAGTCAATATGGAAGATGCCTGATCTATGAGGACACCCTCCTGTTCCCAAATTCTATGTCCCATCCAGAAATGCAGCATTAGAGCTGCAGGTGGGTGGGTGGCTCAGTGGCAGAATGTTTACCCAGGCAAACACGAGGTGAGAGGGGTGGGGAGGGAGAGACAGGGAGGAGAAGAGAGAATGGGAGAGGAACAGGGCAAGGGGAGGAGAGGGGGAGGACAGGAGGAATGGGGAGGGCAGGAGGGAGGGAAGCAGAGAGATTCACAGCTCAATTTTTTAAAGCCCCTAAAATAATAATTAATTTTAAAGCAAGAAATGAAGATCTCTAGGTGCCACAAATGAAGATACAATGCACAGTGAGGGTGGTGACTGAGCGGAGAGGTCATGCAGGGCTTTGGTAGCAGCCCTTCGTGGGGCAGATACACATCTGATGCCTAGAGTTTTAGGACCCAGTCAGGCTCAGGAGTCCATGAGCATAAAATGAATTCCCAACCCCAAATCAGAATCTAGGAAAGGTCTGTTTGCTTTGTCCACGTGTCTAGAAAAACTGTTAGGGGTGCGGAACTGGGAAATCTGCCCGAGTGACAGGCATCCACACAACCATTAAAAAGAAGTGAGCACGCCCAGCTGTGGGACTAAGGAGTATGGTACGGCAAGCTGAGCTGAGAAACTAGGTGAGAAGCCAGAGTCCAGCAGAAGCCACACCTCCACAACCTAGGATACGACTGTGTCCCTCCGCAAAGGCACCTCCTGCTGGAGATGAGCTCACAGACACGCCGCACAATGAGCCACACGAGCCCTGCCAACAGTGGGGTGGAGCAGAGACTCCCTCAGCTGTGACTCTGAAAGTGATTTTAAAATATGTGGGTTTAAACTGGGTATGGTACAGCCTGACTCTAATCCGAGCTACTCAGGAGGTTAAGGCGGAGGTTGGAAAGTTTGAGACCAGCCTGGGCAACTTAGTGGGGGAAGGCAGCTGGGGAAGGAACTCAGTAGCAGAACACGTGTCCAGCATGCAGGAAGCCCTGGGCTCCATCCCCAACATCACAAAACAAACAAAAAAGGTGGGTTTAAAATGTGCAAGATATAAAGGTTATACTCAAATTCATAAGACAGGAGCAGGCCATTAAGAAAAGAACAGGAGAAACTAAAGTAGCACCAAAATTTCATTTCTAAATTCTAGAAATAAAAATATATGTATTTGAATACAAAACTAAATGGGTGGATTAAATAATTTACTTAGTGAAATGGGGCAGTAGAAAAGTTTCATGATACCTTTTAGATCCCACTGACCGAAAAGATGGTGTCCACGGTGTCCTGGGAAGGCTGTCACAGGAGATGCAGAGATGCTCACGGGGACAGCAAGACCTTTCCTCCCTGCGCTCACCTCCAGATAATGCCCAGTCCTGGGCAAGCCTCTGCCTAGCCCACTCCTGCACCCTCAACACACCTCCGGCCCCTCTGGGCCACCGTGGTAAGCCAGGGGAGCACTCACCTGGTTGCCTTCTGCCTCGCTGCTTTCTAGCTCTTCATTTCTGTCTCCCAGAGCCTGGGCTGCTGCTGCGCATCCTTTTATGAGGTCTTTACCTTGTCCATTTCTCCCCGGTACAGAGTAAGCAACTTCTGGGTGCCTGGTGCTTCGGTAGCAGCCCCTTATACTGGTTGCATCCACAGAGTCCCCTGGTCTAGGTTGGAAAGTACAGTCTGGGTTTGACGGGGACCTGGAAGGTCCACTCTCAGGACTACCCAGGTTCGAGGATGTACCAAGAGTTCCCTGGTCATGCGCTTTCAATGAAGGCACATCTTGAGGCTGCTTTGGACAAGAAGCTGAGGTAAAGGACACAGCCATGCTGCTGGGGTTGAAGGTCAAGGTGCTGTTGCTGTTCTGCCGAAGGAACCTGGGGGACGAGCTGCTGTGCTCTGACTCAGTGGAGGAGTGGCTGCCCACAGAGGCATCAGAGTGGCTGTGGCGTGGATTGTAGGGCTTAAGGAAGGAGCTGTACACGAAGCCTTTGGTGACTGCAGAAGGAGATACTGATATGAGGAGCTTGTAGCACAGGGGGAGAAGTGAAAGTCAGAGAATCAACAGAAAAACCATGGTTTAAAAGCCAGGTCAACAGTGAGAGACAAACTGACCCTTGTTTGGAAATGGGCACACACAGAAAACTTAACAGGACATCCAGACACTGGCTAGGAAGACACTCAGCCAAGTGTATGTTCAAACATACTTCGTGTGGCAAGGAGGGATGTGAAGACTCTGCGTGTGTTGAGGAGCCCCTCAGGCAAGCATCCTACCTCCCTCCCCTCTGTAGCACCACAACCCTTTGGTTACGGGGCTGGGAAACACTGAACGTCCTAATGCAGAAAGCTGGTCTGTGAGTTCCAGTATACGCAATACCTACAGCACATGCTCCCTTGTACAAACTGCCTAAGATGATGGCAGAAGGCCCTCGGTGACAACTTCAACCACCTTGAGATGGTTGAAAGATGGTATCCAAAGGACCATTTTTTAACACCTGAAGAGAAATCTGCCCAAGAATACACCCTGATTATATGGCCTCCATGAGAACAATGGTCATCTCTCTTAAATTTAATATTACATTAGTCTTATTGTATCTGTTTTTGCTTCTAGTCCCAGGATTGTGCTACTAAAGGAGGTCTCCAGGACCCAGGTCCTCCACATAGTGGGCCATATTTGGACGTGACAAGAGCTAGTGTCACATTTACAGGAAAAGGCCTGGATTTGAGAATCTACCCCTTTCTCATTTTTAAAATTTTATGGTCTTAATATACAACAACTGTAAATATTTATGGGAGCATATTTCAATGCACATATACAATATGTAGAACTGAATCAGGGTAGTTACCATTTCTATCTCCTTATCTTTTTTTATATTTTTGGAACTTTCAATCTCTTCCAGTTCTCATAAAATATATCAGGTTACTTTACTGTGCTGCAGAAACTAGGATTTATTCATATTAACTATACTTAGGTACCTGTTACCTAACCTCCTTCTTCCTTGATCTTTGATGCACTTCTGGTATCTGACACAAATCTAGGCTTGCAGGAAGACCCTCCCTCAGTATCTGAATGAATGGAGAGGGCCCCCTGGGGTACAGAGTCTAATGGCTGACCCTAATACTGTGGGCTTCTTGCTACCACTTTACTTGGGTAAATAAAAATCCTGAAGACATAGTACCTCCTTACACAGCTTGGAATTTTATGGAGCCCATCAGTTTGATCCCATCAGTGACTGCCACCTGCCTGTCTCTCTGACAGGATCTTTCCTTTCCCATTATAGTTTTTATTAATTAAAATAAGCAGGAGTGAGGAAAGAAGAAAAAGTAACATAAAACCAAATGCTTTTCAGAAACTAAAAAAGTGCTAATTCTCAGCTGCAGTTGGTGTCTACACAGATGTATAGTCCCCAAATACTTATCTACAACACTTAGACCAGATGTGTTTTAGGATTTGTTTTTCTCCCCACCCCCTGGGTCAGCACACCATAATCAAACTTCTTACAGCAAAATGCATGCATATTCACACCAAAAAAAGGTAAGTTATGATATAAATGGTGTTACTTCACTTGGTTCAGATTTTGGTCAAAAGATCTGAAAAAAACTTGTGTCAACTCCTTTTGGATTTTGGAATTGTAGAAAAAAGGATTATAAATTAGTATTATTTTTTGTACTTTTCCTTAAATTCTGTAAACCTCACTTACCCTAGAAGCTGTGAGCTGGTTTTTAAAGACATTCCCTAAATAGTCTTGAGGTAAAACAGTTTGATATAGGGGAAAAAATAATGCAAACAAAAGCTGTAAGTTTTAAAATTCACACACATACAAGTTTATAGAAACTAGAGGGTAAGCTTATTTTGTGGCTTACTCGGAATGGGTTGAGAAGAAACAGGATTCCATTAGCAGTATTTACTGCCTGGATAAGCTATAAAACACGGCTAGATCTTCATGAGATAAGTAATGGAATTTTCTCTGGAATTTGTCAAAACAAAAACATAACCAGAAAAAAGAAAAGCACCACTCAAATGGGTTTCGTTTCCATAATGATCTGGGCATTACACTCTCTGAAAATGGATAGAACTTTTAGGGTTATTTTCCCCTTTAAACAAAGGCTCTCACTTTTTTTCTGGCCTAAACAGGATGCAGATAAAGCTCCAAATCTTCTTTTTTTCCTCATTCAGAGTTACACTCATCTGACAGCTAAAATTCTTACCTCCATTGTCAATCAGCCAGCGGTTCTGACTGCCCATAGGGTCCTTCTTTTTGATCACACCGACCAGGTCACCTTCTAAAAGTGAGACATCCAAGTCCTGAGCAGCATTGAAATTCCGTTCTGCTTGGAAGAGTTTATCAGGGGGGTACCGCGCCAGCAGTGAGGCCCGCAGCTCTTCTGACTGCAGCACGTAACCTGCCTGAAAGGTAACACAAAAAGCACCATCAACAAGAACTCTTCCAAGCCGTAATCCCGCAGTCTCTTGCTAGGCCACTTGCACTTAATCTTGGCTCAATCAGTCTCAGAAGTGAGGCACTGACAGCTACTCCTTGTCCCTTAGATGCTTTTGTGTTACTCTGTTTAGCTAAAAATCATGGTAGCCTCAGCAATGTGCTTTTATAGCTAAAAAGAAACTTCACACATATTTGTGACACAACTGTGATTAAAGAATCAAACTACTGGGGCCAGGTTACGGCACGTGTATGAGGCCCTGGGTTCAATCCCTGGCAACAGAATTTTAAAAAATAAAAATATCTGAGTCATATTACTAAGTATTGTTCTTCTGTTGTGGGGAGGCAGTGTTACTGGGGACTGAATATAGTTTTTCCCACAGAGTTACATCCCCAGCCCGATAGTTTTTATTTCAAACAGGATCTTACCAAATTGCCCAGACTAGGCTCGGACTTGTGATCTCCCTGCCTCAGTCTACCAGGGTACTTGGTGTGCAGGGATATGCCGTGGGACTCAGCTCACTAGATCCTGTATTTTGCTAGACAAACCTAAGCAATTAAGACTTTTTCCATCCTGACTTCCCGATTTATAAAAACAAATCACACTCATAAAAATAAGAAAAGGTAAGAATTTCAGCATTTTTAAAAGGTAATATAGTGTCTATGGAATTACATGGACCAAAATAAGCAAAGGCATATTAACAATTCTTTAGATTATGAGCTCAATATAATCTATTGTGCCCTGATTTTTAAAGTATGGAAAAACTGCCTGCGGGTGCACACCTCACAGCATTTGGGAGGCTGAGGCAGGAGGACCACAAGTTCAAGCCAGTCTGGGCTACACAATGACTTTAAGGCCAGTCTGAACTACATAATGAGACCTGGTCTCAAAAAAAAGTATGGAAGAATTGAATTAAAAAAAGACAGCAATTCCAGATTTTAAAAAAAGCAGTCAATGATAAATTGGCTCTATTAACTTTTCTAACACACAGTCAAAAAGATTAATATACCCTTAAATCAGTTTCCTTAATTAATGTATTAATATTAGTATTTTACTAAGATTTAAGAATGATTTCAGAGGGCAGCCTGAAGTTCCTATGAAGGTGAGAAAACTACAGGCAGTCACTCGTAGGCGCCAGTAAGTACATCAGCGATGCGCAGGAGATGCTAACTCCTTGCAGGAGCCTGTGACGATGGGACCCAATAATCAGGAGGGATAATACTTGCTTGCCCAGTGCTTACTATGTGGCAGGCAGTTTCTAAGTACCTTCCAAACACTAACTCACGAAAGCTCTTTAATTGCTCTAGGATGTAGCTAAAATTATCTGTGTCTTAGAGATGAGTAATCAAGGTCCAGATGCGAAGTGATATGCTCAAAACACAAAGTGGTAAGTGTCCGTCCTGGGGCCTGAACCCAGATGGCCCAGCTCAAAGTCACACACTCTTAGCCCTAGGCTGTGCTACCCTCGGTCCTCACTCACCAGGCCCAGGAGGGACTTCCGCGCAGACTGGCGGTCTATGGTTCTCCTCTCGAATGGCTTCTTTGCAGCTGGAAGAGACTCAGGGAAGAAAGTGAAGACCTGGAGTTGCTGCAGAACCCTGCTGTGCTCTTCGTGGAAGATGGCGATCAGGTTTCCGTCTCTGCCAGTAACTTTGAGTAACTGGAGTCCAGGGAAAGAGCCAAGACGGAGGCAAAAAGAAAAAAATGGATGAAAGATCCCCAGGCCTGATGAAGTCTCTGTAGAATCAACCGGAAGCTAAAGTTTAACTGCAGTGGCCCTGTACAAGCTACCAACACTGCAGTCCATGTAGGAGAAAAGGCACTCTTGGCAGCGCTGCCCCCAGGGCACGGCTCTCCAGGGAATTGTGCAAGCTGGAAAGAGACATTTAAAAAGCCCTGGTTTTCCTGCCACCATCAAGGGATCAAGAATTCTTGAAGGGCTGGGCCTAATGACATATTTAATCTCTCTAGTTTGGGTAACTTCTCACACAGCCCCACTGCGGTCCTAGAGAAAGCCCAGGGAGAACTTCGGAGCTGACTCCCCTGAAGCGCTAAGCGGCTCACCGAAAGCAGTGGCTGCAGCTGCTCCAGTGCCTGCTGCACAAAGTCACAGTGGGCTTCCGCGTAGCCATGGATGCAGTTGGCGAAGAGTCCCTGCGCGTACTGCTGGAACTTGGGCAGCTCATCTAGCAGCTGTGCATTCAGGGCCTCGTAGTTGTTCCGGGCTGACTGCAGCTCCTCTAAGGTTTTCTTGTCTTTCAACTTCTCTGCTCGTTCTGTGCAGTTGTAGAAGTCCAGGAGCTTGTCGAAACGCTTCTGCACCAGCTTGTGGGGTCCTGTAAACATGCTCAGTAACTGATTTAAAGGAGAGATGACCAGTCGCTCTGTCCTCTCTTTCTACAGGAATGAGAAAGCCACAGCGGTCAGTTGGTCAGCACCTCATCTTTGAGTCTCCAACACCCTCGCAAGCCTAATGTGGTCGTCCTATAGCAACTGCTTTGCTCCTAGTGCACAAGTGGCCCCACAGAGCCACAGACATACTCCAGTGATATCCACAAAAGAGCTCTACATACACTTCATCAAGCATTCACACACGCAAGTGTTTGCAACATATACCAATCCTTCTTTATCATCTCAGTTATTAAGTGCTAAACTGTACATGGACACATTTATATCAGAAAGCACATGTGATAGTCTTGGTAACACTTATTTATTTATGTTAGCTTGATTTTTTTGGTTGGTGCTTGGCACTGGACCCAGGGCCTTGCACAAGCACTTCACCACTAAGCAAATCCCCACCCCTATGTAGCTTGATTTAACTCAGATTTAGTTGTTGCATAAATCTGGAGTGGATTAACTTTCACCCACCTGTAATACTGTTTCTACTCATAACTTGGTAAGATTTGTTTTCACTTTTCAAAAAAATTTTTCTCTTTCATTCTTCTTATAAGAACAGATAAGCCAGACATGATAGCACATGGCTGTAATCCCAGCACTCTGTCAGCTGAGGCAGGAGGATCAAAAAGTTCAAGGTCAGCCTGGGCTACACAGTGAGACCCTGTCTCAAAAACAAAAATAAGGGGCCAGGGAGATAGCTCAGCAGCACAGTGCCTGCCTGGCAAGCACATGGTTGTGACTTTGATTACCATTACCAAAAACAAAACAAAACAAAAAACCAACCAAAACCAAGAACAAGCCAGAGTAGAGTTTTGAACATATGATTTAAGTACTTAGTAGCATTTTGTTTTGTTTTGTTTCGTTTTTGAGACAGGGTCTCACTATAATGCTCAGGCCAGCCTTGAATTCATTATGTAGGCTAGGCTGGCCTTAAACTTACAGTGATTTTCCTGCATCAGCCTCCTGGGCTTAGTAGCATCTAATAAAAAGAATTTACTGTTTGAACACCTAGAAGTTCCCTAAGTGTACATACCTGCTTTGGCCTTGAGTCATGCAGGGAGTGCTAAGAAACTGTCACATTCTACCTAATTCTATATGCAATTAAACAATCCCATATATAATTATCCAGAAATTCCCAACCAATGTGTCCTTTAGTGCTTTCTATATAAAGTAGTTTGTAAAAATTTAAATAAAGTAGTTTATAAGAATCTACTTGGAAACACTTAAAAAAGAGTATTTAGGAAAATATCAACATTATAGTGATGTCAGATTAATCTTCTAGTTTTCCCTCCCTAGTCTATGCTCTGAAACTAAGATGATAACAAACTATTAAAAAAAATCCACTGATTACATTTAGGCACTACCTGACCCTCTATCTCAAAGTCATGTTCTGAATATAAACCTGGATGCAAAGACAGTTGAAGGACACACTGCGCTTCTGTTCCCTGTGGAATTAACCTCTGCACAAGCTGCCATAAGAAGTGACCCCGCGAGGGGACCAAGCTGTGAAAAATGAGCTGACATGGGATCACTTACGAAATTGGTGAAGAGCTGGTCACTGATGTAACGGTGCACCTTTTCAAACTGCTCCAGGTCGTGGTGTCCCCGCTCCACGCACAGATCCCACATGCTTGAGGCAGCCACCACCTTCACACAAGCTGATTCCTGAAGCAGATGAGAAACACCAAGTGAGACACAGAACTTGACTTCATTTAACCCAGAGAGCAGTCTGCAACAAAAGGGTTCTGTCACGCTGATTTTCCTCTCTGGTATAATATTTCAGCTTTGAAATAAGAATACTCATAAACTGATGTATGCGGCAAAGAGAAAGGCTAGGACTTTTAGTTACAGAAAAACCGGCAAAGGCTTTTATCATCTCCTGAGCATTTCTCTCTTCCGCCTATAAAACAGGGATTCTTAATTTACCAAAAAGTAAATCAAATTAAAACCAAGATTCCTGCAGGATTATAACCAATCACCTTCCCTTCTCAAGTCTTGGCTTGTGCTGTCACCTTCTCACGGACAGCTGCCTCAGCCTCCTTGATAACCTCAGTCTCTGACTCTGGCAACTCTGAGGCTCTTGTCCTGCGCTGCCTTCTTCTGCCACTGCAGAAACTACTGTCTGGCGGAGGACCACTTGCTGATTCTCATTTATTGTCCCTGTCTCCCTCTCCTAGCCCCGGCAAAATGTGAGGTCCAGGAAGGCAGAGATTTGTGTCGCGTCACTGACCCAATGACTGCTTGCTGAATAAATAAATGATGAATAGGAAACACCGCCTGGTTGGCTGCAACAGTTTTGAGTCCCAGGCTGATTTTCTTTGGCTATTTGACACAACGCTAGGCTTTTGCCTTGTGTAAGCGTAGGAAATGCCTACTCTATTGGTATCCAATCCAGTCTAAATGTACTAAAAAGCCTCACTAGTATATTTCAAGAGCGAGTAAAAATCCCTTAGTAAAAACTATCATTGCTGGGCTGGGGATTTAGCTCAGCGGCACAGTGCCTGCCTGGCAAGCAGAGGTCGTGAGTTTGATTCCCGGTACCAGAAAAAAAAAAACAAAAAACAAAAAACAAAAAAACTATCATTGCCTTACAAGATATTTTAGATTGTTTGTCTTTTAGGCCACTGTATTTGTACAAATAAAGTCTGTGCTTTTTCAGAAGGATAACTAGAGACTCTAATTCCTCTTGAGTGCAGAACTAATGTGAAACATGATGACCTCTTACTCTCTTTTAGAGAAATATTGTGACTTCCAAAATATCGGCCCATATTCTGGTGTAGATATCAAGTGATACGGCCAATAAACTTCCGGTTTATTTCTGCTTACTCTCTCTCAATCCATCTAAAGTTGCTGTTTGTCAGGGATTTTCATTTTATGTCAGTGACAAAGCTGTTCTATTTTTTACCATCACTGGTCGGAACCAAACAGGCCTACCCATCAAATGGCTGTCAGTGTCACCTAGGTCCCATCTTAGATCCTGTCCTGGCTGTGGGGAACAGCCTTCCAAGCAGGGTTTTCAGGCATATGCTTTCTATACACTCAGGAAACACGGACAGAAAGCAATCATTACAAGGATGTCAAAACTAGGGAAAGTCCTGAGACCAGAACAAGAAAACTTACTGGGTAGTTTCCCCAGTATTTCTTGGTTAAACTTCTCTTAAGCTAGTTTGTTCTAGAAAAGTTTTGTAGACCCTATTTTCAAACCTAATTGCATTTTTAAAACATGAAGGGAGGAAGTTTGTTATTTATAAGAAATGTAAAGGGCAATTTATATCAGTGGGGCTTGGTCAATAAATGATAACCAACTGGAAAAAGACAAAGTTGGATGGTTACCTCAAATCTTGTATACTAAATTCCAGCTAAATAATTTGATTTAAACCTAAGGCAATGGAACAATGAAAGAACTAAAGCATGGGAAAACCTTTTATCTTGGGATAGAAAAGGCTTTTCCACATATGACACAAAATCAAGAAGTCATTAAAAAAAAAAAGTTTAAATAGAGCACACAAAAATTAGACTTTTCTATACAGAGGAAACACTTTAAGCAAAGCGAAAAAGTCAATAAACTTGGAGGAACTATTGTTCAACCATCATGTCAGATAAAGACTATTTTCTCCCTACGTATTACTAAGAAAAGACCAGCAAGCTGGGCATGGCAGCACACAGTTGAAATCACAGCACTCAGAAGGCTGAGGCAGGAGAGGATTGCTGTGAACTTGAGGCCAGCCTGGGCTACATAGCAAGACCTTATCTCAAAACACAAAGAACAAACAAAGAAAACCCCAACAAATCTACAAATAAGTGTGCCAAATCACAGAAAGAGAAATGTAATACACATATAGAAATAGTCTCAATTTCATTCATAAGAAATACAAATTTAAAACATACTGAAACTTTTTTTTTTTATCTATCTTGCACTGTGTGGATTTCTAGTGGGAATTTTCACTTTTTTAACACCTGTAAAACTTAACAGTATCTGTCAAAATTCATACTGCCACACGATTTGATTGAGAAAATCTAGTACTTGCATAACACAAAGCTAAATCATGGAAGCAGCCTGTAGTCTATCTGCAGAGGAACAGATAAAGAAAATGCGGTATTCATACACAATGGAGCACCAGTCTTCCATAGAGAAAGATAAACTTGAGGGAGAGTGAATGTAGCTTGAGACGGTAATGTTAAGTAAAATCAGAAACACAGGCTTCACTATTGCATAGTTTCTCTGATATGAGAAACCCAAAGTATAAATCATTTAAAGAGCAAAATAAAAGACAAATAATAGCAAACAAGGAGTTAGAACTTTTGTAAATAGGAAGGGGACCAACAGACGAAGAAAGGGCGGGAGGAGCGGGGAAAGTAAAAACAGTGAAGATGTGTTATGCACCTGTACCAACTCCCCATCACGACTGTAACATTACGTACTGCGAACAAGTACTAATTGAAAAGGGAAAACAACAAAAATAGCCCTAAAAGAAAAGCTGGTACCCGAGACATAGTCACATAGGTCAGAAACTGATGTACTTACAAGGATATTCCTTGACACTTCTGATCTTTTACAACTATAATTTAAATGCCTGTCAACAGGGGACTAGTTAAATACATGCTGCCGTATCCACGCAATTAAATACTATGCAGTTGTAGAGAGACTGAGGCAGTTCTTTGTATATGGCTGTGGGATCACTTCCAAAACGTGATTAAGTACAAACCCAAGACACTGCAGTGTGATTCAACTCCACCCCCACCCCAGCCCTGCCCAATAGGGCCAGCTCTGATAGGAGACAAGGACCTGACAGGTGGTGGCTGCCTCTCTTGAAGGTGACCAGGGGACACAATAAGAAGAAGAATTATTTTTCCTTTTACCTATCCTTGGTACCTTTGAAATTTTAACAATTTTAATCACTTCAATGATTTTTTTTTAAAGTGAAGGATTTCTTAAAGAAAACTCTTTGTTTTATCAGAGCAGATTTTCATGTGTGAGGGATGGGGATATACAGTCAAAATGTATACACACTTCATCTATTAAATCAGTAGAGAACCTAGAGATAAGAATAGAAAGGATTCTAGTTCTGGTTCTTATTCCCTAAGGCTGACCAGATCCTCATAGCTTCCCCACCTTCCTGAAGCTACTTATAGTTCCAACTTTAGAGGCTTGATGTGTAACAACTTCATGAGCTACAAGTTAAAACGATCAGGACACTCCCACCAGAACCATTCTCACTCTTCTCTATGGCTTGTCCTTCCTCTTGTCTATTTCTTCCTCTACAGCTTTGCTAGCCCTATATTCAACATCTGATCTTAATATTTTAGCAAAATGAAGAGTGACAGGTGTTTCTTAAATAACTAGGTATAAAGAGACAGTCAAGACAGTGAGTGTGGGAGTGGTGGGAGGGTGGTAAAAAGTGAAAGAAAAAGAGCTAGGCCACTTTAAAATTAATACAAGACCAATGACCTCCTAAATGTTGGTCAACTTTTAAGTAACCTATAGAAATTTCAATAAAAAGTACATCATGTATATATCATATGTTGACAATTTTCTGCCTTAAGTTACTTTTCTTGTTGCTGAGACAAAATATGTGATACCCAAAGTTAAAGGGGGAAAGGTTTATTTCAGCTCACGGTTTGTAGAGGTTTCAGTTCAGTCAGCTGGCTCAAGGCAGGGTGGCATGGCAGGGGGGCATCACAGAGGACAAACAGTCCACGGCAGGCAGAAGGCAGGAATGTATCAGAGCAGCCAAGTAAGGAGGAAGCAGCAGACTGCCTCTCGCTTTTATCCCTTCCAGGCTACCTGCCCTGTGAGTGGTGCCACCCACACCCAGGGTGGGCCTTCCATTGTGCATACTCAGAACTATGCCAAACCAATCAGTGGACTAATTTAGTAATCACAGACCCTTAATCCCAGCATCACACACTCTAGATCCAGCCACCTCTGAAAAGCCCCACCTACGACCACATGAGGCTTTGCAGGGACATGTAGACACTAGCCATAACACTTTCCAATTCCCCAAAATGAATGTAACTATTATGTATTGCAAACACACTAATTAAAAGAAAAAAAAAGTACATCATGGCAAAATGGCCACTTGAATCCAGATTACTTAACTTTCACTGAACAATATGCTAGATGAACAAGAAAGTGGACAAAACCTTCTAATTAGAATGATGTTGACACTCACCCGGATATGCTGGAGGTAGAGGGACAGGTCTCGGATAAAAGATTTAATCAGTCTTTCTTGCATTCGAAAGGTCTTTTCTGTTTCTTCAAATACCTCATCTTTTATCTGTTCAAAATAAACGAGTGCTGTAAGTAAATGTGGATTCCTCCATCTATTTTATTGGCAAAATTATGCTTATCAGAAACATCTTCCATTTAAATGTGAAACTTTTCGTGTCTCCCTGAATCACACTGAGTTGAATTTAGACATGTCTCTGTGGCTTTCAAAGACCTCCAAAACACATGGCCCCAACATCGTGAGTTCGATTCCCAGTACCGGAAAAAAACAAAACAAAAAAACAACAACAACAAAACACATGGCCCTCCTTCCTCCAAACCATCTTCCCCTCAGCTGCTGACATAAAGCCTGTCTCTGGTGGGGCTTCCCTCTTCATTCCTGGTACCACCACATCTGCTGAGCAGGGCTTCCCCTCCTTCCAGCAAGCCTGTTCCACCTCCCTTTAAGGTTCAGTTGAACTCAGACCAACAAGAAACTCGCTCTCACTGAATTCCTCTTTTGCTAAGTACTACAGCATTTAGGAAGAAAGTGTAAAACTAAACAACTGAGTATTTTCTGGCTTGTATCTTCCATGAATCAGTATCACGGGGAACATAATATATAGCAGGATGACATCTGGAGACCAGGCCTGCTCTCAGCATTATTAGTAAGAATGCTTTTCAAGCCACTCATTGTCCTTCCTTTCTGTTTCCTTACTTGTAACACAAGGTATCCTTACCAGTGATCCCTTAATCCCTTCCAGCTTCATATTACAATTTTAGATTTGTCTCCTCAAATGGATTATAAGGGCCTTAGGGGTGCTGAAAACCACAATGATTATTGAATTCCAACCAACCTGGCCTCCTACTTTGCTTTTGTATATACTGTAAGTGGCTCACCAAGGCATTCATGTAGGGTTGGGTGGGCGGATTCACATAATCAGTAGCTATAGGCCCTGTTCCCACCAGCTGGCAAGGCCAGAGGAGGCGCTGAGAGGGAAATTTGCCAGTGAGCACCAACAGCTGCTCTATGGAGCCATGCAAAGCCATCAAAGACCCGCTGAGCCTTGAAGCCCAGGGCTCTCACCTGAGGCGCAAAGCCAGTGAGGTGCTTCAGGTGACTGCTCACTCGGTTGGATTTCTTGATGATGGAGTGGATGTTCAGTTTGGAAATTTTCTCCATAAGGCTATCCTCATCACCCTTCCGGTACTTCAGCACTAGGGAAGAAGTCAAGGTGGTCAGTCTTTCCTGAGGCTGAATTACATGAGCTAGCAACCTGAAAATATAAATATTCTTTTCAAAAATGGATATAAATTTTGATTAACAACCCAATTAGAACTAGTGCATGTCTTTAATGAGCTTATAATTGAATAGACAAAGTATTAATCCAAATAATCATTTATGAACAGATACAATACCTGAAGAACACTGGGTCGGGAGAAGGTTAGAGTCAAGGAAGAAAGGTGGCAAAGGTGGAGGAAACTGATCAATGAGTGGGAGTCAGAAAGTCCTGGAGACTAACCCCTGGGTCTGTCACTTCATCAAGGTATGGCCATGAATGGGTCATTTTACTTCTCTGGGCCTCATTTTCTTCTTCAATAAAAATGTTCAAAGTAATAGTTTCAAGCCCCATAAGACTCATATATAAGTGATTCTTGTGTATAAATTACTAGATCCTTATATCCATTGACCTTACACAGTAGAACGCTGTACCTTAGTTATTTAAGTACTGTATCACATTTTAGGCCCAGTATGCAAAAAAGTCTACAGATCACAGCAGAGAGAGCAGAAAGCAGACTGGGTAACCGTATACTTTGTTGCTCCACAGGATGAAGATAACACATCAGGAGACAGAATCAAGAAAAAGGGCTCGATGGCAGAATGCTCTGAAAACCTCAGTCAACATCATGTAGGAATGTGGATGACATGACTGAAGTAGGAAGCAGAGAGTTATTATTCTATTTTTTACAGTTCTGGGTATTGAAGCCAGGACCTGCCCACTGAGCCATATCCCCACTCCTTTATTATTTTAAGACAGGGTCTTACTAAGTCACTAATATGCATGACTGAGTGCTGGAATTAAGGGCATGCACCACCATGCCTGGCAGGGCAAAGATTCTTACTACTACACTGAGAACTGCTTTACCACTGATGCCTTATTACCACCCTTTTCTTCCTCATCACATTTGTCCCAAATTTTACTACCACTTTTTATCACAGTGCCATTCCACCTACCACCTGCCCTGTGCATTTTTGGTGAAGTAATTCTTCTGAGCAGGAAAGCTTTCTCACATGGCATACCTCCTTTGCAGCAATTAGGCTTTTCTTACCCAGATCCTTTCGCCGTTTATACTCATTAATGTTTACGTTGATTTCCTTGACAGCAAGGACTGCGCTGGTTAAAGGCACTTTATCTGGATGGAGTTCTGGGGTGGAATTCAGCAACTCCATTAGCAGCAGTGGGTAACGCATTACTCTCTGTACAGGTTTGATGAGGAAGGAACCCAGGTTAATGTAATTGGTGCATCCCCTGTAAGAAAGGGCAAAAAAGACTTTAGTCAGCTGTCAATAATAAAGCTCTCTGGATACTACTTGTTATTTCTAAATTTAGCTTTTTTCTTTCAACAGTTTCGTTCATTCATACAGTCATGCATCACTTGGCCATGTTCTGAGAAATGCACTATTATTAGGTGACTTTGTTATCGTGTGAACATCACGGAGTATACCGACACAGGCTAAGCTGTCTACAATGTCCCAGGCGATACAATCTTACGGGACCATTGTTATAGAAACAGTCCCCCACTTGTTTCGTGATTAGCTACTGTGCCCCTGACACACACCAGGTACTGTTCTAGGTGCTGGCGATTTAATGGTGAGCAAACATAGTTTTTGCTCTGATGGGAGAAGACAGGAAATAAGTAAATCTATAAAATATCATTTGGTGGTAAGTGGTATAAAAAAAAAAAAAAAAACATGACCAGGTAAGTTTATCTTCTAGGTTTCTGTCTATAATGTAAGAAAATAAAGTTGGCCTTTTAAGGGTTAGGGAAAATTCACTGAATAAATGAGCTCATACACCAAGTATCCAAGGGACTTACCATTCATTGTACAGGCTCCTACAAGGCAGGGAACATGAGGGAATAAAACAGACAGCATATTAGAGAAATGATGTTAATGTTCTCCTTGTCAGAGCATACCTGTTAGGCAGACAACAACCAACTGGACGAAGAAACTTATGAATGTCTATAGTGACACATCTACTAAAAAGTTATCCACATATCCACCTGTCCAATATTACATCTTTATAACTTGTTTCTCCAAGACCGGGACAATCTCACCTGATGGTCAGGAGTAAGAACTGTATTCTTCTCACCTATGCACTTACTTACTTGGACCAGACTATCTTCCTGGCTGCATCTTACCTAAAGAATGCTGACTTAATAGTTCATCTCTATAGATACAAGTGATTTAAATGGACAAAAACACAAACACAAAGCTTAAAATTTCCATAATATATAATGAGAACAGGGAAGGTTACATGACAGGATGAATAATAATAAATCAATTATGTTTGAAATAAGATAGACAGATGTCATTAGAAGTCTAGACATAAACATGAGGAGATTCTAAAAGGCAGACTAAAGAACTTTGATTAAGTAGAGTAGTCAAAACTCGTACCTCAGGTCTGCCAACGAGTCTTGAAGATGCTTCTGGATCTTTTCATCTTTCTCATAGATTTCCAGCAGGGCAATGGCCTCATCGTGATTCTGGCAATAAACCTTGTACGTTCCCTCAAGGTCATCACGGTGATCAAGAAACACAGGTCCTTTGGAATAGACACAAATGTACAGTGTTAGCAGTAACTTTCTTCTCAGTGTCCTAAATACACAGTACATGGCCAAACATTAACATCAGTTAAGTCTTATTATAAGAAACAATAAGGCTATTTATCAAATTAATACTTTTCGTGTAATAGCTTAAAGTTAACATAATTCCAAGTAGAATATAGACAACCACGTCATCTATGTATTCATTTTTCAAAACACACGCAGCTATCCCCGCTCCCTAAAACAGAGCCTCCAGCTCTGCGCATTTAGGCAGAGGAAGGCATTTACAAGCGGCTCCATGAGGGCACATGACTGGAACCAGCGGGCCCCCCTGCTCTCTACCCAACAGGAAAATTTGCCGAGGAATGAAGAAGTCCTTCTACAGTATGGTTTCTTCTTCTTTGTGCATAAATTAAAAACACAGAACTATAAAATATGTGTTAATGCAAAATAGCCCCAATCTGTGATATAATCACACATGTAATTCTTTTTAAGGTGTTAACAGAATGTATCGATGAGCCTGACTATCCCCATATGTTCACCGTATGATGTGTGACCTAAGAAACTGGTAACCCTGCTTCTAGTTAAGCATTACTGAAATTAACCTGCAATCACCCCATGTAACAGGACATCTGCAACAGCCTAACGTAATATGACATGTGTCTTTAGTTGTGATGAAGTCATAGATACAAGTAATATTTTGTGGTTTGTTCCCTATATTCATACTTTAAATAAATGTTAAATTTCAGTTAGAAATTAGTAAAAATAAAAATGTAAACTTGTTTTTCGCTCTCCAAGTTCATAGATGCCACGAAATGTACTCACAGACCCAGTCTTTAGCCTGTCAGGCACCCAGCCCTGGTTTGCAAGGAAACCTCTAAAGAACAGTTTCTCTTAGAGTTGCTGCCTGCACATGCCTGTCTCCTGACTTACTAACATTATTTTTCCTCTTGCCCTTTGTTCCTCCACCTTCAGCTTGCAGTGCTCCCCGCCACCCCACAGAGTCCCCTCTCATCCTTAGTTCCCTTCTTGAAACATAATCCTACTTACTGTCCTATAACTATTCTCTTCTGATTCTCTGGACAGAGCTCTCCCTCCAGGACCCCAACCCTTCCTCTGTGTCACCTCTGCTCTCACACTGTGTCCTCAGGAATTCCCCACTCTCGCAAAAATCAATTTCCATGTAAATTAAATTTATCGCCTTAATTTCAGCTCTCTTCTATAAGAGAAACTTGTGTTTTCGTAAGCCTTATGTCCTGCTGCCCTGTCTCACTGGAAGCCTGCTTCTGTGTCTACTCCAAAACTCAACAGTCTGCGTCCTTTTTGATCTTCACAGCTAATTTGCAATTTCTGAGCCACCAGCGTCTTTATTTTTCCAAACCCATATTTTCCTATCTCTTTCTCTTAAACGCTTCCTTCCTATCCCACTTCCTACAGCAATCTTAGAACTTTCACTACTCAAACCAACTACCAGTCACACTCGGCTGTTCTTCAACCTCCGTGGTCATGACAATCCTAGATCACTACACACTAGCATAGCTACACCGCCAGTATCTTTCAAACTGTGGGCACAACCTAAAGTGGGTCATGAAATCTGTTTCACGAGTCATGATCAGCCTGTTTTAATAAAATAGAAAACAAAATATCAGAAAACACTGAATATAGTAAAATTAAGCACAGACATATATACAGTCACGTATCCTGGGCCATGACATAAAACATGTTTGTTTCTATGGATTATGTTTAAAATCACTTCAAGTCTAGTCCTAGGTCATATAAACTGCTCAGAAGGCACACTGTTGAGAGGACAATTTGAATTGTATGCTGTATTTTTGTGGTTAAAAAAAAATTGGATGAAGGGCTGGGGATGTATCTTAGCGGTAGAACACTTGCCTAGCATGTGAAAGGCCCGTGTTCAACTCCCAGCACCACAAAAATGAAACAACAAAGGCAAGCAGGAGGGAGGGGGAAATGAACGAGGGCAGAGAAATGTGTAAGTGCTGGAGTACAACACCTTGTCTCAGGAAGACGACCCGAGGACACCAATGACAATGGTTGCTTCTGATTGAGAACAGCGGGTGACTAGGGACACAGAATAAATAGCTTTTCATTAAATGATTTTTTTTGTACCTTTCTAACTTTGTGCTATGTAAATGTGTTAACACAAGTTAAGTTAAAAATCTATTAAAGTCAATTCAAACTTTAAAAAAATGCTCATGCAATTCGTGTCAATCTGCCTTTTGCTTGTGGCTTCACGGGCTTTAATTTGCCTTGCTTGGCCTTCTCAGACCCTGCAGTGCGTACACTTCAGGTGCCTCCCTTCTAGCACATCACTGTGCAACCATTGCCCCTCTCGGTAAGACTGAGCCTCTGGACCAAGTTCCGAACCGTTAGGTTCCTAGGACTCTGCACCACATTTTCTGCGTGTGCTGTCAACACATCTCAGCCTGGTCCCTAACTCCTTGTCTGACTTCAGGCAAAAAGTGAAGAGAAGAGCAACAAAGAAAAAAAGAAATGAGTCCTATTTTAGGAGGGTGGGGTTACATGGATATTTTGTTTTAATGTCTACTTTTGTTGCTGTCAAATGTATGGGTAAATACTCTAAAAGACATTATTGTGACTGTGAGATTAATGGTGGTCACCAGGCCTACCTGAAAATTCTCAGGGCTGATGCAATCCTAGTTATATGATGCACCCTGTCCCAGACACTTCCAGGAGACCATGGCAGCACAGACACATTTGTCACAAACTTGAAAACAAAGCCCACCCTGACAGAATAGCTTCAACTCCCTGTGTGAAGGGAAACACCTGCCAACTGACCTGGAATGGACACATGTATAAGAAAGGAGTAACTTTCCACATTCTGAGATGACATCTGGACAGACGCCATCTTGGACAGGATGTCATCTGACCCCAGACTACATCTGACTAATGCCACCAGCGTGTTCCTGCTACCTGTGTTGTAAAAGTGCGGCCGAAACAAACTGCACAAACATCAGCTGATATCCAAGATTCATTTCTGACACAAATAGGACCAAGGGGAAAAAGTCACTTTAGGGAAGACAGTTAACTAAACAAGGGTCCACACATAACAGGTAACAAATAGTAAGAACTACAAGGTACTTGCTTATTTATCCCTTTTAGACACCAGCTAATTCTCCTTCCTTATAATTTAAATAAATGATCTACAGTTCTCATTTTAAGAGCCTGAAGAAAACCTCATAAATTGGGCTCTATGCTTCATCACTGTATCAAAGCGGGGTCACCATGACTTTCCAGGCACCTCACTGTGGCTTCTCTCCATGGCTATCTCCCTGACTCTCTAGTTAGACTGGCAGCAAGGCCCCCAGGCAGCAGTGTCTCTTGCTGTTACAGAAGACGCAGACACACAGCTGCACTCTGCACAACAGAGGACAGGGGTGTGAGCCTGGATGATGACCTGAGTGTGAACGTCAGTCCCATCAAGGACCAGCCATGTGACCTCGGGCAAACTTCCTTCACTCTCAGGCTCAGTTTCCTCATCTGTGATTTAGAGAACCCAGTGCTCACAGGGCTGTTGTAAAGAACAACTAGCCTATCTAGACGATGTGTAGGGTATCAAACACTCAGCAGCATTAACATGGTTACGCTGTCCCTGCATATCCCACAGCTGTTCCCCCTTCCAGGGCAGCAGAACCCTGATGCTGTTCTTCTAGCCATCTCTTCTCAGTACGTCGTGGGGAAACTCTGGCAAAAAAGTATTTAAAGTGAATGCGAGAAATGAAGGAGCTCTCTGGACAACAGTTCTGGCCTCCTGGAACGCATGGTTAGAGTACAGAGTGGAGTCTGCAGGACGGGTCAGCAGAATGAAGAGCAATATACTCTCAGAGATGTTTGCTTTGGCCGGTGTGTTCCCTCTGCCCCCTGATAAGCTTCCTGCCAATAAGCCTGTTTAAACTAGATTAACATATGAGATGTTGCAGGTCATCCCTTTCCATCCCTGTTCCATGCCCCAAATTCATACACAAGTGTTGCAAATACTTTTTCTTCTATATCTTTGTTCTCATGTCCTTAAGTTACAAATAACCAAGGACGTCTCTGCTTGCTGCCGTTTTCTGAAACTTTCAAATCAGTCCCTCTGGGTCTTCTCAGTGACTGAACTTAGGCTCATCTCAGAGTAATCTTTCATCCTCTATGCCACCACAGTTGCGCACTGCGACAGTAAGTCAGGTCAATTCTGCTTAGTCTAAGCCAGTATCATGTCCTCATTTTTCTTTCTAGCAGTCAATGTAGGAACATGCATGGGAACCCATCTGTGCAGAAGGAGAGAGAGAAACTGGGTGGGGGAACTCTGGGAAAGGTTTGCAAACTCTCAAATGCCAGAAGGGTTACTTTCTTCTGCTGGGTGTTGTGTGTAGTGGGACTCTGCACTGGTGGTGGCCTCTTATAACTATGATTCTAGTAAACAGCAAAATAATAGGGTGCTCCCACCCACAATGCACCAAGGGAAGTGAGAGCATGCCACCTGCAAGATCATGCTATGAAAGGCACTGCAGCTCCTGTCCTGGGTTTTCTCTAGCTCTTAGCTTACTCTGGGAAGCTCACAACTCACTCAAGTCATGAGAAGGGTCCACAGAGAAGTTCTTGTGGCAAGGAACTGAGTGAGCTTCCTGGCAAGGAGCCCTTCAGCCCAGAAGATGGCAGACCAAGAGCCCAGCTCAACCTCAACAAGACAATTTCAGTCAGAACGCTCCCAGCCACTTTCAGATTCCTGAGCCACAGAGCCCGAGATTCACATGGTTATTGTTTTAAACTGTTAAGCTCCTATGAGATTTGTTGCACAGCAATAGACGACTAATAAGCTCCCCTGTTTTTCAGAACCAGATTAATGTTCTTCAAACATTTTGGACAATGACCCACACACATACATTTTAAAACATAAATTCCAATATAAAATATATAATTATAATAAAAAATACATACTGGGTGTGATTCTCTAATCTCAAGACCCATCAATGGACTACAACTGTGAGCCTGGAAAATATCACACTATACGACATCTAAAACTTCTAGTGCTAACCTACTTTATATCTAAAAGCAGGCTGAGATAAAAGGAGAAGCAGGGGTCAAATAATCTCTGAATAATCCCACACTAACCTCAAGATCACAAGGGCCCCTCCTGCCACCCCACCTAGCGCTGAGACAATGGCAACAGCTCATACCTACAGCATCGCTGATTTCCAGGGCAGCTAATAATTGCTTTGAGACTTTAATCACCATCTGCATATTTCCAAAAAGTCCCTCAAAATCAATGTTTGGTACCTAAGAAAAAGAAACAAAGCATAAAAATGCATGCAAACGTAATTAACATGCCTATCACTGGTATTTGGAATATTTCTTCAAGGACTGTACAAAAATTGCTGAAGGTCAATTTTTTTAAAACTTTAACTGTCACCAAGTTTCTTCAGTAGGAACATCTAACACTATCTTTTTTTTGTCTTTGTTTTTTGAGTTAGGGTTTCACTATGCAGTTCAGGCTGGCCTTAAACTCACTTTGTAGCTGAGGCTGGCCTCGAACTCACAGCAATCCTCTCGCCTCAGACTCCTGAGTGCTGGAATTACAAGTATGTGCCATCACACCCAGCCCAACAATATTTAATGTTTGTCCTTGATCCAACAATGTTATCATTTGGATTTAGTGTGTTCCCTAAAGGTCCAAGGGTTAAAGGTTTGATCAACAGCCTATGGTATTCCTGGGTAGTGGGGGAACCTTAACCAAGTTGGGCTTAGGGGAGGGAAGTGAGGTCATTTGACTGGTGTCCTTGAGGGGGATACTGAGATCCTGATCTCTTCTTCTTGTTCTCTTTGCCTCCCAGCCACCATGTGGTAAGTGGTTTGGCTCTTACCATGCTCTTCCTGCCATGATGCTCTGCTTTGCCACAGGCCCAAAAGCAAGAGTCAGCCAACCATGGATTGAAAGCTCTGAAACTATGAGCCAAAAATAACTTTTTTGTCTTTTAAGTTTATTCTCTCAGGCATTCTACCACAGCAATGGAAAACTGACTAACAAAATATTTTCTGTTCCTTTCTCTACCACTACCTTAATAAAATCTCTATGAAACCAATACAGTTTGCAATTATAAAATGCAACAACACTCACAACCTTTATTTCAAAACCAATAATGTTCTGGGGTAAAAGCTCCCACATCCTAATGCTTCAGGTTTGAAGGGCCACACTCATGAGCATGAGAACTGCCTGTCATAGTTCCCACCTGTGCCTGCTGTAGGGGCACCATGATCCGCTCAATGCACATCTCAAGATCCCGGATGTAGTCTCTTTCCGTCTGAAGAAGTTCTTCTACCACTTTGGTTCTCTTCTCCAACATCCTCTGCTCTGGGTCTTCGGTGGATACAGACCCAGAAGGGGCCACCAGGGATGAAGACTGTGAGGAGAGGAGTGTTATTTCTAGAAAAGAAAAGAGAACTGGTCAGCAGCTCTGGGTATGAAAGCAGGGCTCTTTAATAGTTTGAGCCAAAAAATATTCCTTGAGAACCAAATGTCTCCCACTTGTCAAGCATCAGGAGACAAAGAGGTATGAAGCTTAGCAAGTTATCCTGCAGAGAGATTTCTCCTCTCTGTGCAATACCATCTGGAGAGTCTGAAAAAGAACTGGCTGGCCAACATGGTGTTCCACACCTGTAATCCCAGCACTCTGGGAAGTTGAAGCAGGTTCAAGCACAGAATGGGCAATTTAGTAACTTAGTGAGACCCTGTCTCAAAATAAAACATTAAAAAAAAAGCTAGAGACTTATGTCAGTTTGAAGGCTCTGGGTTAATTTCCAGTCACCACACCCTCAAAACACACACACACACACACACACACACACACACAGAGGGCTTCTTTTTTTTTTGAGACAGAGTTTCGCTTTGTAGTTCAGGCTGGCCTTGAACCCATAGCAATCTTCCTGTCTCATCCTCCGCAGTGCTGAGATTACAGGGGTGCACCACCATGCCCCACCTGAGCTGGCTTATTTGAAGAGAGTGAGTCAGTACTGTATCTACAAGCTCCTGGCACAATGGCCTAAAAGGGGTAGGGACTTATCAAGAATTTTCACTTTGCAGTAAGGTGTGGTGGGTGTGGTGGTGTGAACCTTCAATCCCAGCACTCAGGAGGCTGAGGCAAGAGGACTGCTGCAAGTTCAAGACCAGCCTGGTCTACATAGTGAGTTTTAGGCCGGCCTGCACTAAAATCTGTTCCCCATCAGCAGCAAAATGCAAAACTAAAAAAATAAAAAATTGACACAGCACATTAAAAAGAATACATGTACTATGTGGACACATAATAATGCCAACTTGCTAAGGGGAAGACAAGAATTAGGAATCATCTGAGATCCGGGGGGTGGTACGTTCTATCATTTTCCAGTCATGGGTAGATATATAAAATCTGATTAGAGTCTTCCTACCAAAACACTAATCGAGACTCACAGCAGATTTTTTTTACTTCACATGGCCTAGGAGACAGATAACAAAATACTATAAATTTGAAGTTCTTCAATTAAAGGAAACTCTGCAGGGCTAGACGGCATAATTCTTTTTTTTTTTTTTTTTAAGGGGAGCCATAAGAGAGCAGAGTCCGCGCCACTCTTCCCTGCATGAGGACCACAGGTGAGCAGCAGAACGCTGGAGCCCTGCGATTCACCCAGCCACTGACTCAACTGGTCAGAGCTGGCAGGAACTCCACGCCACTCCTGCATACACAGTCCCCCTCGGCTGACCATAAAGACAGCCAGGCGAGGTCTACATATATGCTGAAGATGGCATAATTCTTATGCAAAGAATTATCTATAGAGACAGAATGTGCTCATTTTAAATGAACATCAAATGCTAAAATAAAATTGAAGAAAAATTCGACAGTGAAACAAGGAATCTCTGCAGTACTAGCTTCCTTCAAATCCGTTAAGACTAAGTTTAACCACAAGAAAAATGACAAGGGCCAATGCATAGCTCAGCTGCGCAGCGCTTGAGCGTGAGGTCCTGAGTTTGATTCCAGACACTAAAAAAAAACAGAAAAAGAAAAATGACAAGTGTTCAAACTACTATAGAGAGCTAGTTTTTCACAACAGGTTTTATCCTCCAAAAACACTTCCCTTACTGTCCCTTCTCTGAGGATTTAGGAATTTTTTCCAGCGTTTAAAAAAAGAATGCAACTGGGATTCTGGTTTCTAGAAGTCCTTCACTAAAAGGAAGCAGAGTCTTTGGAAAAACGGCTAATCTAGGGCTGGGCAGGGAAGAGTCTGCGCCTGAGCCAGCCTTGGAAGAAAGCAGGAAGCCCTGGAGGGTGGTGGGGGAGTGACAGCACTGGAGCTACCGGGCACAGCTTGAGTGTCAAGGAAAGTTCAAGTAAATACAGCAAGGGATTACAACTCACTGAATAGAGTAAGAATCCATTAAATTCCTACTCAATACATAAAGGAATAAATAAATGGGTGGAAAAAGGTTGTCTTAAGACAGAACATCAGCTCAAATATTAGAAGAAAATAATGGAGTTAGAAAATAACCATTTTGCTACCAGAATAAAATTTGGTTCAGGTACAAATCATCAATTGGTGACTCCAGTGTTATGGGGGGGGGCTGAATGGTGATTAGGGTATAGGTACAGTTTTGAGTTACTTATTACAAATACGAAAAAATAGTCACTATGAACATATCAGAGAAATGAATGACACCATGACCCAGTAATCAACACTACTGCGAAGGACAAACATCACGAACCTCCAAATGTCATGTCTGAAAACAATATAGTATCTCTTGTACAGTACATCTGTCACAAATGTATAATGTGAATCTTGGTTGTTTGTTTGTTTCATTTTGTTTGAGGCAGGATCTCACTGTATAGCTCAAGTTTCGGTCTTGAACTCAGAGATCCTCCTGCCCCAGCTTCCTGAGCGCCGTAGCATAAAATGAATCTTTTTTTTACATGAATTTAGAGGAAACACCAAGCTTAAATCAAGGATTTATATTCTTGACAATGTCATTTTCATAAAATATACAACACATACACCCTGAAGAACAGTTCACAGATATAACCAAAGCAATTACAACTAAATGTATATTGTCATCTGTCCTAGACCCCAATTTAGAGGAATGAATTGCTACAAAAGACACAACTAGGGCAACTCATAAAACTAGAATAAAGGCTGGAGATTAGGTAAATGATTATAAATCAATATTGGATTTCCTGAAATGGCAAATATATTGAGGATGGTCACGGAAGAGTATATCCATGTTCATGCAAAAGACCACACTGGTGAGCTAGTAAAGCAGGTGCCTAGCACACGCAAGGCTCTGGGTTTGATCCTCAGTATCACAAAAGTATACACTGAAGCTAAACAAAACAACAATGAAAGCCCCTAAACCAAAACCAAAAAGAATGAATGAAAACAAAAACATGGCAAAAAGTTAAATGCTTGTAAGTTGAAGGGTATACAGGAGGCTCTTTATACTTTGGCAATTTTCTATAAATTTGATGTTACTTAAAACAAAAGTTTGAAGAAGCATAACGTAAAAATATCTTTCTTGAACTTTTGGGTAGAACAAATGACAAAACTTCATATATAACTGTCATTTCACTAGTGCTGAATTATGATTCTAAATTAATTGTAACATATGTACAATTTATTTATTGCAGTGCTAACACTGGAACCCTGGGCCTCCCCCAGGCTAGACACTCTACCACTTAACTATGTCTCCTAGCCCTACAAATCTACTTTTAATGAACCAGCTTTAAAATACCTTTATGATTTCAAAGCAACAGGTTCTTAGTCGCAAATATGGTCTCATTAGTGTCAAGCTGAGAAAAGAAACTCATTTTTAATACAAAACCAGAAACTCTGGGAAAGGAGAACATTTACTGAATTCCTACCACATGTGGGGTACTTAGGACTATACCCCTAAGCGCATTTAATATTCACACCAGAACTTACCCCTAAGCGCATTTAATATTCACACCAGAACTTACCCCTAAGTGCATTTAATATTCACACCAGAACTTACCCCTAAGTGCATTTAATATTCACACCAGAACTTTAAAGCAGCTATTATTACTCCTACTTAAAATGTGAGAAAACGCAGTCTTTAAGAGGTGGATTAGCCTGTCTGAAGTTATACAGCAAGTAATGGTAGTCGTGGAATTACAACCTAAATTATTTAAATCCAATCCATGTACCTAATCCTGCATCATTGTGCTTTCATAGCCTTGAATCTCAACTAGAAAAGGCAGCAATTTATTTGCTTCAAACCTTAAAAATTCCCGGGCAAATATTTCCTCCCAGCAAGCAAAGTTGTATTCATTATAGTAGCTGAAAACACAAAATACCAGCAAGCACTTACTCATCAACAGAAGTCAGCAGTCTTTATGAAGAGAAAAAAGTTTTTATATTACAAGCAAAAAAATAAATAACAATTCTTCCAATCTGCCAACATGTCTTCTTTTGCAGATGGGATTTATAAACTCTTGAACAGCCTTTAAAACCTTTAAAACACAAACCCCAAACCCCTGCGGGATATTTTTCCTGGACACCAACCCTGAGAATCTGGTTCTTCAAATCAGATCCTATCTGAAGAACCTGGGTATCCGCAATTTTAACAAAACCCCAGGTGTTTCTGCAAAGACCTGACCTTCAGACTCCACAAACATAATTAACACTTCAAAGTGAGTTTTCAAGCATAGTATTAGGTCAAATTAAAAATACCTGGCTGAGACGTAAAACTGTTTTTCCTTTGTTTCACATACATGCTAAGAAGTCTGATCTAAAGCTTCAGTAGACTGGGGATGTAAGGCAGTGGTACAGCGCTTGCCTAGTACGCATGTGCCTCTGGGTTCCGCTCCCAACACCGCAAGCAAATGTGTAAGTAATAAAATTGTAGTATCTGGGACAATCAAGGGGAGAAAGTGGCCTTTACCTTCAGCCAGCGGGAACAGACTTTAATCTTATACTTCCTCAATATTTAGCCGGGAAGCCCTGGAAAAGTTCACCTCTGGGCCTCAATTTCCTCACCTGTGAAATGAGGAAACTAATACCTGCTTTGCAGAGTGGTTGAGGGAATTAAGCAAGGTAATAACTCAACAAACGGTAAGTCCTTTTCCCAAGATGTGCCAGAAATTGCTGTCTGCACATTAAGATAAAAATGCAGCACGCAGAAAAGTGCCCTGTGCACAGTCTAAAACTCTGTGAGAACAGTAAAATCTGGGCATGAGCAAGCACACAGAGGAGACAGGCCCAGAACCAGCCTATCAATAAAACGTGCAGACCCACACCCCTTCCTAGGACAGCCCCGCAGGAGCTCGGGTGCCGGGCGGACTGCAGGAATTTACTTTCAGGACAAAACAATTCGCCGTGGAGTTTTGGGTGTTGCTGATTCCAGCGCCCCTCCTCCAGCCGCCCCAGGGCCATTCCTTCCCGGGT